AGATATTTTGCAGCCCCTGACCGATTTTTTCGGCCCCAAGGAAAAATCTTTTACTTTGCCCCCCCCCCCGCCGCCATTGCCGCTTTCGAAAGAGCCAAGCACGCCATTGCTCAGGCCACAAAGTTACCTTTTCTCGATACTCACGAAAGCACAAAACTGATTTCGACAACTGATGCTTCGAACGCTGCCGTGCTTCTCAAGTTGTTCCGTGCTTCAGCAAGTTGTTAACAACACATCTCAACCACTAACGTTTTTCTCGCAGAAGATGCAGGCTGTCCAAACGCGTTACAGTACTTTTGGTTGTGAATTACTCGCAATTTACCTTGCTATTACCGGCATTTCCGCCATTTCCGGCACTGGTTAGAGGGTAGATACCATTCCATTTAAACCGACCATAAGCCACTCACCTATGCCTTCAACGCCAAACCTGATCGATATTCACCACGCGAGATACACATCTCTATTTCACGGCGAACCTTCAAAACAGTGATCCTAATTTTTTGCCCATTCTATCGTTCCCTTCATTTCAAGTCTCTTCAATTCCGTTACCCAACCAATCCGGAACCATTTTGTGATATGTCTACCGGATCAGCTCGCCCAATCGTCCCCGAAGCCCTTCGACGCGTTGTTTCGTTTTCATGGATTCGCCCAATCGTCCCCGAAGCCCTTCGACGCGTTGTTTCGACCATTTTCATGGATTTTCTCAACCAGGAATCAGAGCAACCTGCAAGTTGATTAGTGCACGATTTGTATGGCCCTTCATGAATAAGGACCTGACATCCTGGGCCAAACAGTGCATTGCCTGTCAACGCAGTAAAGTAACTCGGTATACAAGCTCACCTAAACGGTTCTCTGCCGTGTATATTAGTGCATGACATCTTCGGAATCTATTATATGTGGGAACCGTTCAGAAGAAGACCTCTGGACCAACATAATTGGATTATTGTTTATTCGCTGACCTGGGCCAACGACGAACTATTTTAAAGGGAACAATTGTTAGTGAGTCTGTTCCATCTGATCTCTTTATTTTTGTACACCCAACCTAGCGTAATCATTTTTATTTCTTTGCCACACACTCCTGGTAAACTAACTTATTGGGTAGCCAGACCACTACAAGTGCTCCCGGTCTTCACGAAATGCGTTGTTCGGGCTCCGCTGTCAATCACTTGTAAACTCATGACAGCATTCATCAGTGTCCCAGTGGGACGTATCACCCACCTCAAGGCCCTATCCGCTTGACTTGCTCCGGAGAGCTGGTAGTGCCAATCAATGTAGTGCTCTAGCAAATCGTGAGCAATTTGATGCTGACTGGATAGGCTAGCTTCCACTGGAGCCCGATTTCAGCTGCAACTTATCATGTATGTGCAAAAGGGATATGATTCCTCAACATTCCGTTTTGGGGGTCGGTTAGCTGCAAACCATCCCTAACTAGCCTTGGAATCATAGCTCCAGAAGTGATGCCATTTCACAGTGAGAGATGCCTTACGGTTGCTTACACCACGTAGACAGTTGGTGGGCGTAACATACGTAAAGCAAACAACAAAAACACTACATCTTTCGGCAGTCAAGAGACCGGTGCCTCAAAAATCCGCAAACAGTGGTCACTACGGTGGTTAAGAAATATCCCCTCTTCAACCTGGATAAATTTTCTAGATCCACCCGAAGGCAACACATTTATGAGGAGCAGTCCCATTAAGGGAGTCGTTTCATACACAGATATACCTGATGGACAGAATTTAGACACATTGGGAACTGTATCCGTTTCCGGTTCTCTCGCCATGTCGAAGTAGGCCGATATACAACCGTGCACAATGAGTAATGCTATATGGAATTTTCGATTTACACGGAGCCGGATGTGTGTTCACCAGAACACAATGCATCCCTGTTAAACCCGAGGGCGAAAGACCAGAGGGAGCAGCACGTCCGGCCGGTGACTTACAAATCCCCTGCTCGAGAGGGTGCAGCTGAACACTTGGGTCTCACATTGCGTGCAGACAGTCGTCTGAGAAGGTGAACACGTCCGTCCTTTCATTACTGACTACACAGCAGTGTATACAGGACACCTATAGCACCGTTGTAAGTTTAGCACACCGGAATATCCAGAGTTTTGAGGCGGGCCAATGGTACATGCATGCGTGAGACACAGCGATAAATTCGCACATACTGGATATAAAAAAAATAGTTGTAGCAATATAATGCGTTGCGGATTAAAAAAAAACTAGGCGTGCGATGAAAATCGACTTTAAAAAAAAACTAGGCGTGCGATGCAAAATCGACTTCATTGCAACTCGGAGTGTCATCTGTATACCCGCGGATAAAACGAAAGTCGGTTCAACCAAACGAAACGACAAAATACAACAGTGTGACTAATTGCTGTAAACCAAAACGAGATAACACTCAATGAAATGTGTTATTTTACGCAAAGTAAATATTGGTTATTGGTCTGAACAAGCAAGCAACCCTGCGGCCCATGCCAGAAACGCCAGAGTGAAAGCACTTAATTCTGATGTGGATTCGGATCATGATGCTCACCCGGTTGACCACGAGCCTATCTACCATCCAGATATATTTGAACGTAGTTATGGTAAGATCAAAAGAGTTTGAACATTACTTTGAAGTGAAAAGCCTCTGTGACAATTTGTGAGAAATAAATTTGCGGACGAAATACTGGATGTACAGTAGGCACCAGATGTGTCAGTTCATCCAGCGTTCAGCTGTTTCTAGTGCGTAACCCCCCACTGTGGTCTTACCTTATAGGGTCTCCTTTGAAAAGCAATGAAGTTTGAGTTTCTTTTAGGTTTCAGGAAAGGGATGCCATGGTGAGCAGCTGTCCCTTTGTCGGGGACGTCATTTGCTTGGAGCACTATCAGTCTCATTCACAGTAGCCAGATTAAGCTAACCATACTCCCAGTCTCCAGAGAAAGCTCGAACTTCAAGAAACCGCTATGAATCCGTTCAGCGTTAAATACAGCCTCCTGTGCTTCCCATAGTTGTTGGTATCAGAGCGTGAGAATGAGTAAAGCAAATGAAAGCACAGAAACTGATACTTGCTACTTACGCTTTTTTCGGCCGATTAGAACAAGGTAGCCGCCCACTAGCCAATAAGACAGAAGTCGGTGAATGGAGGTAACCTAGACAGAATAATTTCAAGCTGCATTTGCTTAACTTGTCAGTGGACGTTCTGCTAGGGCATTGCTATCAGCACAACAGCATAGTTCTAAGTGTGTCCGACGGTTTTTCGGAGCCTATTGGTGCGCATATGGCCAGTATTCACGGCGTTTTATTCGAGCGAAGCATAAAAACCCTGGGACCGAGGCTGATGAAGGCGGAGGTGCACTGGTTACGGGGCTAAACGTTGAATGTGCGAACCACATAGATTGGAATTCCTAAAAACGTCCCCAGACATGTCGAAATATCAACATGTGCAATAAACTGCCAAGTTCGCGTGCTAAACGAAGCCACGATGTCAGATAGTCAAAAAGGAGCCATTCCATACATGTCACCAGGAAAAGCCGATTCTACGGTTACTGGCTGTTGATCAGGCGGCAGCTGGTCTGCTCGCCGAGCTCGTCACCATTCGGGGAGATATCGTCGGCACGCACTAGCGAGGTCGCGACTTCGAGTCGTCCTGAAGATTCGTGAGATGCGCACTGGTAATGAGTTCCATTAGGAATGAAGCAGCTATACAGCGCTTCTCAGTTTTTTTTAACATAGACTGAAAAGAACGAAAGCGCGATTAAAACGTCGAAATATACCCATACTACCAACAGGTAATACTATACCATGAAAGTAAGCTATCAGTCAGCGGTAGCCGGAAGACAAGAATGAACTTGCAGCAGCTCGGTTACATCCAAATTAACCAGGACCTGGACCAGGCTACATAGATAAAACTCGAGAGAAAAGTCGTCTGTTTTTGAGCACAGCTAGTACCACAATCCGACTGCAAAAATGCATCCAACGGTCTTTTGGAACTAGTAGCAGCTGATGCACTCCCTCCAGAAATAATGCTTCGTGCATTAATCGCGCGTGTCGACGGAGTGACTGACTTGCACAGACACAAACTTATGTGATTACATGGCTTTGGAGGAGACGCAATTTATTACGGTCCAGGCTCTTCCGTTTTGGTAAGGGGGTAGTCAGTGCCGATTTCCTTATGCACTGGGGCGTCCCTCAAGACAGTCCTTAGATCACAACTCGTGCTTCCATGGATTGTTTCCACAACCGTGGTTTTCTATTGTGCGGGTTGCTGTCCTTCGTCCGTTAAAATGAAGGCACATCTTCGAGGCTGAAAGCCTTCACTGGAGCACACAGTGAAGGCGGTTGCATGTCTTGTGAATAACACCTCAGAATATCTAGAATAAGAACCAACGAACAGCGATGCATAGGACTAGATTGAGGATAAACCACGGTGCTCTGTATGAACTTTTTACGATTCCGTTGAAACCGACCAGGAAGCCCATACTGACAGTATTATCTGGGATTTATGTGGATATGGAACAACACTGATCGTTGTCTTCCGTTAGCTGACCAGCAAGGAGCCTTGCTAGTGGCAAAAGGTGTCCGAAGAGCAGAACCCTAAACGAGAACATCGCACGACATAGGGGAAAGTACCGATGCCTTATGGCAAAGTATTCCACCTGAAGTGATGGATCATTCACTGCGCTAAGCGTAGCTCATGAAATGATGCCCTGTATTTGGACTCGAACCTCTCTCAGTGACACTCAGCACGGAACTGATATGGCAATTAATTAAGAAATACACCAGTAAAGCATAGAACAAAATGCGATAAGCCGCATCGTCACCAGGCCCAAAAGGTTGAAGGCAGTGACGAGATAGACGATGTGCCTGGTTGCCTTAGAAACCAACAACGAAGCCAGTTGAATACATTATCAGCCAATATTATTCGAGCGATATATCTGTACCCGAAGCGAACAAAAATTAATTACAGTGAACGTGTTTGCCCCTGAAGTAAACTTTGTTGAGCAGGCTCTCCCGGTAACTCAATCACTAGTGGAAAACCATGTGTCTCGCATATTCATCGTCAATCCGATTTCAAGCAAACTAATCGAATTGCATCATGAGGCATCTCAGTCAGAGTGAACGATGCACCGATGACATATCATGAACAGAATACTGAAGGATCCCAGATATCGATGATGTCTGCGTGGCACATGGTATTCTGTGTGCACAGAGGAGGTTCCAACAAACATTTGATGCACTAGAAATCAGTTACTTTCTTGAAGTGCACGAACCTTTAACAGAAACCTCACTTTTAACAGAATCCAATTTGAGAGTCAGAGGGAGATATCAGTGCGGTCAAGTAATTCTAGGTGCCATACACAATACATAATGGCCATCACCGCTTTACCGATACCAGCAGCCACAGGAAAATCAGGTGTTCTAATCGCATGGCACGTTAACGAGCGAATAATCTAATGCCTTTTGGCCACTGGAAATGAAGCTGCCGTTCTTTTCAATAACTGAAACATCTCCGTATAACAGGATGATGGAGGCTTCACATCCAGCCAAACTACCGGTGCCTGACTGTCTTGAACTGACCGGAGTCAGTAGTTACACGTTTGATGCAGTGATGCCCACTTGTTCAGACACACCGAAAGATGAAGGCCTGAACAAGAATCAGGCCTTTACGCCATCACCAAACAGACAGTTACGGGTTGCTGAAGTTTCTTATCACTGCGAAAACTTATGAGGTCCCCGACTCAAAGAAAACGAATCCGGTTGACCTTCGCCATTTGTAATATGCTTTAACAAGCTTTGGATTTCCGCTTTCTTCTCCTGCTTGACCTACTCTTCGGAAGATCTGATCGACCTTCGGTTGCCGTTGGAATGGACGATTTGGTGTAAGTGTCAAAGTTGTTCGCCCGAGGGTTGCAGTAGAAATAAGAATTGTTATCGACAGAACTTTTACTTTAACCCTATAGCTAGCGAGCCGATGTTCGGAAGCACGCCACATAGCAAACCACCAAACTCTTCTTGAGTAGATTAACATGAATTGTAACTAGCGTTTTGTACTGAACATTCAAATGCACGCTCCACCAGTTGGAAAAGCTGTTCTCATTTAAAACGGTATTGTCTTTTCCTGCTCCGTGGTGAGATCCAACTGGGACAGGGAGATGGTGGGTCGGGTAAACTATGCATGTAACTGAACAGCCACAGGCTTTCCAAAGCAACAACACATAATTGGCATTCAAACCTTTATTAATGGTAACGGGATTAACTGAACCGTGGAGGTGAACGCTATTTCCGTCATCAGATCTCGAAGGCTGACTTTGTATCCGCCTTTTCTTCTGCGGAGCGCGTACGAGGACCTTGGTACTCACGGCGACCAGGAAGCCGACCCATTCGAAGGGCAGCCGAGGCAAAATGTGCACAACTAAATCATCCCGGACCTTTCGCTGAGTTACATGATTCGATTGCAATGTTCGTCCACAGATATTGTACACATCATGCATTAGATTGCACCACTTGGTTGACAGACAGATTTCATCCAGTATGGTGGCTGCTCTGATTGCTGCACACATTTGGATCAATGGGTCTGCAGACAGCATAACAACACACGGCAAAACGAGATCTATCGTCATTCGGTTGGCATAGCTTCATCTACGTACTAGCCTTTTCCGGGTCAACAAACAAACACACGAAGGGGAGACTTTGATGAAGTGCGTTTGGTTGGACTCCTCCGTTTCAATACGTCATCGTATTCCTGTAGATAACTTAATTACTGAATTCAGGCTGGTTGTTACTACAAAAGTGCAGCGGTCCTGGTTGGCTTTCTCAAAAACAATAATTGGCCTTCATTAGCTAGGATGTTATGTAAGAAACACATCTGACCTCAGGCCCCTGCGCAAAGGATCCCGCTCATACAATTAGTTGCTGAGTTCCAATCATGTGGTATTGCTAATCAATGAGACCAATGACTCCTACAAGGCGATAGCAGTTTAAAGCAATTCACTGAGCTAGCACCAACACCTCACGTTTCTTTGGTAAGGCTACGTGCTCATCTGGAAAACACTAGCAAGAACATTCGCTTAACAAATGTTACCAACCCGACACAATTAATCAACCAATCACAGTAGTAGGAAGACGAAATTTACTTCAAACCGCAGACCTCAAAATTAAAAATCTGAATAGCTTAACTTCTTTGGAATATGACTACCCTACAATCCAAAAGGACGTACGGAGCATGCTATGTTGCCGGATTTGTCAAACATACAAAGGATAAAATGAAAAGCGAAGGGTGGACCCACCGGTCAGTAGTTCGCAGTAGTTCCATACATAGTACGGATACCGACAATGGATTGTGAACTAACGAATACTGACCATGAGAAACTAGCGAGGAACTAAAAGCTTTGGGTGGGCGGTATTGGTCACTCGTACATTCATGCTTACGGATCCAATCTCTATTGCTGCTCCTACTGAGTGACTTAGAGATCTGAGACGTTGTGAACACAGTCATGTTAAGTAGGACCCTGTAAATCCCAAACTTCTGCTTGTACCTTTGACATTACCTCGCACAGTTAGAGAACAACAAAAACGCAGGAAGTAACCTAACGCTTCCTAATGAACTGCGTGTACTCTGCACATAAAATGTGTCGAAAGCGCAGAATGGATGAGCAGCCCGGAATTTTGAAATTTCCATGGACAGCCGTTCAAAGGAACTGAAGTTTGCAAACACTAGAAAAGGCCATACCACAGAACGGCACATTCATAAGAGTAATGGATTCAGAAAGGTTAGACGAAATTTCCGGGCTATCAGGTAATCTCTTCTCGAGTTTATACAGAATAATAAATCCCCCAGAACAGGACAAAGACCAGTAGGGTGCGGTCACTTGAGGCCCACTTCCATTTGGTCAGAACACGAAAGATTAAAAACTGAAATACTGGTTATCTCAAAAAAAAACGAATTCGAACATCAGTAGACGTGGTTTTAGATGGTGGAGATGGTAGCATTGGAAGAGCATGACAAAGTGTAGTACACAAACGAGTCATAACAATGGAATGATATGTACGACTCAGAAACAATAAGTTAATCAGGAGGAATTATCACACAGATCGGGTGACTGCCTGGTCAACTTAGAAGAACTGGAAGGCATGCACCGCAGTCCAACTCGCATCAGGAATTGGAGTCCGGATCTCCAAGGAAAGTGAAGATGCCGAACAACAAGAAGGTCGCACCCCCAATGTAGGTGACTAAAGTGTGGAGGGAAATAATTGCAAAGATAATGAACACCAAGCAGTGTCGTTGAGGGCAAAAACAGTCCAAAGTCAATCAGTTAAAAAATTAACGGAGACGAACTACAAGCAAATGCCTGAGACCAGCGGGAAAACCGGGTTCATATGTGCCAACAGTTGAGAAACGGAACTACTGACCAGAGAAATGAACTCATCTGCATACCAATTTGGTTTTCGCGGGAGATCCACTAGAATCCCAGCTGAATTTTTCGTTTATGATGTTCTCTTTTATGTGCTACTGACCATTCATCCATCCAATTGAGATTGTCATGGAATAGGCCTGACGTCAAATTACTCTGCCGTGTTTCCTATGTACGACACGGCTAATAATCCCGAGAAGTTGAATCCTAACAAAACATTTAATAGGGCGGTAGAGTCCACTTTCAGCACACTGCGATTTCCAGACTGTATGATACACAAGAGTGGTGGGAAACCACTCTTATACTATTTTCCGTTCTATCCTAACACACTATGTACTAGTACGCCTACAGAATTCCTAATCGAGTGGTAGCGTTATGCAAACAAGTCAAAAGAACCACAGTCAAAACAGAGGCCAAAAGTACATTGGGAAAGTGGGGGCTCAACAAATCCGATCAAGTACCCATTGAAAATGGTACAGACTCCACTTTGGTTTCAAGACAGAATAGGGGGAATCGAGACGGTGGTCATTTTATAGAGATAGAGAACATCCGAGATTTTCAGAAAGGGAACTACTCACAAGGTTGCTGAAAACTCTTCGACAGCCCACGACCGGTTTCACTCTTCTCGGGGCTCATCAGGTAGACGCAGCCCCCGAGTTTACGTCAACCTTATGTTTTACTTGAGAAATACATTCATTTGCAAATCAATTTGGTTTTCGTGAGACTCAACTTTATGAAAATATACTGCAATATCTCGAATATCGTGCCAACTGAATCATGAGGCGACCTGTGTGCAGCACATTCAGTTGTAGAATATCACAAACGGGAGATTCAGTTGAGTCCCTCGTGAAAACCAAATTGATTTGCAAATGAGTGTATTTCTCGAAAACATTCGAGACTATTCGAAGGACATCAAACATAACTAACATAAGGGTGATGTTTCAGAATGAGGATGATGTGCTCCGTATCGGTGTAAGTGAGGGAGTACTTGCCGGTGGAAAGGAGCAAATTTTGTGTATATGAAAGCAGATTGGATGACCGAAATACAGGTAACACAGGACAGGGAGTGCACACTGCAGTGAGCATAGAATCATCAAAAAATGAAAATAAATGACGTGATGATCGAAAACACAGCGATACCAGTATAGACGTTACGTACAGGATATAAAACAGGCCCTGAAGATTAGGTTGAAGGGGCCAGTCAACACAACCGCGTGGTTTTGAAGGATGAGTGGCGCTATGTCCTATCTAAGTGTCGATCAGCCGCTGGTAGCTGAACGATTGCGTGTTAGCAGAGAGATTTAAGCCCCCGGAGTTTCGTGAGATGCGCATTGCTGATGATCTCCAATAAGGATGAAAGCTGTACAGCGTCCCTCGGCTACATAGCATACGTTGGCTCCACTTACAGAACAATTTGAAAATTCCCAAAGCTTCTCACACTATCAACGACCTAGGAGTTGGTGGAAAATACCCCTCTGTACGCAAGTGCCAGAAGGAATCTTATAATTTGTCTGCATGACTATGTGAGTCTACAACCGAAATTCTGGAGTGAATTCAATCTGAACACTTATTTATTCGAAAAACTCGGTACAGATAATGTGGCTCTACTTTGCGTACGACTAAGCTGCTCATCTACACGAAGTCATATCGATTAAAACTGACGTTCAACATACTTGTCACGATAAAATGTGTTCTGTTCGAGTTGGATATGTAGCCAGCCAGTCACCCACACACTTGATTGTTCAGCTCACAGTCGCTCACTGGATTACGAGACTTGTCTTTTTTCATACTCGCAAACACGTCACACCAAGGCAACTCATCAGACGTCGATTGTCTGCACCGTCTAGTGAGCGTAGCAACCACTCATGTGCTGACGCGCCCACGTATACGCGAACGGACCTACATATAGGGAAATCGAACACAGTCAGCACACACAGACTCGCGTGCGCGCGGGGAGCAAAGAGTCAGCCGAACACTCCAAGTCCACGGACGATTATGGAGTACGTGTAGCAGCCAAAGTGCAGAGAAAGCACTTCTCGCCGTCCGGACTTTCACCAATGGACTCTCACATATGATAAGTTCCCTTTTGACTTGCCCCACATTTTATATTGCCTTTATTTTACACATGCTGCGAATCGCTTCTGTAAACTACTGTCAACCACAGTAAAGACTTTTATTAGTCCATACACCTTCTGATTTGTATTATGGTCATCACCACCTGTGCACTAATAGATACACAGAAGATTCCATTTATATTTGCGGAACGCAATATTAAAAAACTAGCGGATTTAGCAGAATTCGCAGGAAGTCTTTTTCAATTTCAACAATGTGGTCTGCATCAAAACGACGCTAATGTGTCCAAATCACATCGGAATCCTGAGCATCTAGAAGGATCAATGTTTCTCCTTATCAAAAACTGAAACTATAGCAACCGCCCATGGTTGTCCTCAACATGACAAAATCTTGGTACACTTTATATGACCATCAGTTCCTAGTTCTTTTAGATGGGTGTAACTGCAAGCGTTGGCCACATCCTATACCTGAACAGCCGAATATGATCGCGAGCAACCTACGCAATGAATAGGCCTTCTTGTTCCTCATTACATAAGAAAAACAGTGTCACAAATGCTGGGAACTCGCACATATGTAGAATAAAGAATCAGTAAGGCTTATCAACTTGGGGACCAGAAAAATGATGCATATCGCAGGGCAGCGAAGCAATCGGATGACGAATTACCATAGTTACAAATGAACCGGGAACATGAAGGGCCGATGACCAACCGATCATGACAAAAAGACTCGCTACAGAGGCACTGGCATGCAAGATAGCTGCTACTCTAGTGCCTGTTTCACCGTAGACTGAGATCCAAGGTCACACGTTAAGTCTCTCTTCACGGACAGCACTAAATATAGACTTCGGATATATATGAACAAATTCCGGATGCACTAGAATCATACTTCAACTTGGAAAGTCATTTGCTTGTATCTTGTCCCTGTCAGCATTCGACACGTCCATCAAAGGCAGTGAATATCACACAAACATGTTACACTGGATAGTGTCACGTGGTGCATTCTGTAAACCAGTGTTGTTTGACTTTCTTTACAACGTCGCTGAGAATAACGCATATACGCGTATAGCAGCCTATCCTAGGAGGAAGTGGATACTCACCATACAGGCAACTGAGGTATCGTTTTCGGATGCACACGGTCCAACGCTGAAATCACAGCGTTTCAGATTTAGGACTGGTCTTCACATGAGCAATCAAACTGTTTCACATCCAAAAATTGTCCAGACAGCTGCTGATGCGAATTTTTCAATAATTGTATCATACTGGCAGTAAATATCGTAGATATGAATGGTCTTTTTAACAGCTGAGAAACGAACTGCAACACGGGTAAGAACCAGGGCTCAATCTGAGATTGTACAATTATTCCAAAAATAGTGTCAATCTTGAATACCGCCATTTGTATTCAGTCTGAGTGCTCTGCTGCGGTGAGGAGGGCGCCAGGTAACACGATGCCTAAGTTTGTACTTAGAGCTTGTGCTTACGGCAAACAGATGGTGAAGGGCAGTCTCAGGGAAAGGCCGCTGTTGTGGGTTCTCGGAAAATCTATGCCAAATCCCCTGCCGATACGGCAACCATGTTTGTCTATTCTTGCCAACTGGTCAATCAAATCGTCCACCAGAATAGTGACATCCGTGCGGTTGGCCAGCCGAAGGAGTCTCGGGAGCCCCCTGGGTCAGTGCTGCAGTTAGTTGGAGCGTGTGCCGAAATAACGAATAGATTTCGGGTTTGAGAGTCGCTGGTTGCGGACCCTGGCAGACCCCGCTAGTCTGACTGAATGCAGTCGGCTATACACAGGAATTAATTCAGACAGAGCGTCCTCAGTTCTCACACTCAATGTAATTCTCCCACCACTGAGACTCCAGGAAGCCACTGCTGTTGGATAATCTGAAACCCATTGACTAAACTGTGGACAAACTTAGCTTCCCTGGACCGTGTTCAGATGCGATACCACAGTGCGGTCTTGTATGCGTAATTCGGAGATACACAAATCGATTTTTTTAGAAGTTATGAACAAAGATTAGAGACAATGAACAGCGCCATGTTGAACAGATCCCTTATTATTAGTAGTGTACGTCTAGATCTTGTTTTTCTTGGAGAAGGGCTAGGAATCGATGCTGAATTTCTGGAGTTAAAACAGATAGAGTAATCTTGACATGGATAGTAATAAGAGTTAAAACTGAGAATTTAACGAGACTAACCTCTGCCCCTAAGCTGCGTTAGAAGACATTACCTGGTTGCCCAGGCGGAAGAAAACATTTGTTTCAGGTACCTCACTTTAGACCTTTGACTCAAAAGTCTGACCTATAAGGTAGTGGGGAAAGATCGAGTCTTGTTCCAGGGTGCCGTCAAAGGCCTCTGACCAAGCAGTCTGACCTGGGAGGAAACAGGAGTTAGGGTAACCTTGGAGACCTGTCCAGAGCCAATGAATCAATGGTTTGACCCACATGATTGTGAGAGGTTTGCCTAACCTAGGTCGAATGGATTAAGGTGAACTATCCAGCTTCTAAGGCGAATGCGCACGGTAGGCGCCTTCTGAGCAGCACCAGAGTCTGGTTTTAAAAGTATTTCAACGGTTATTCAATACGGTCGGTGATCACAGTCAACAGCTGGGCGATTGGGGTGTGTGATATTTAGAACTGACCTTTTTCTAACCCGCCGCTTTCAGGTAAAGGAACATCGCTGCTTCCATAAATATGGATAAACTGGTCACCTGGAGGAAATACCTTACTGTTCTCACACCCTAATGCAG